ATTTTTTTTTATGTATAATTAGATTTTAATTTATACCTTAAATTCTATGTATTTTATTTTTTTAACTTTTTGTAACTATGTTATAATATTGTTTATTTTGTAAATACCAACTAATTTCTATATTTTGTGTAACATAAGTTTGAATTTTACGCTGTGTCAGATTGGCAACCCGGATGTCGGGCAGTCCGCTTTTCTTAAATAAAGTTGTTTCTCTCTAACCCCTTAATTATTAATTACCCTTAAATACTATTTCTTCAACACACTATTCGGTTGTATAAAAACAATTCGATAGTTTAAAATATTCGAAAATGCTCATCACTAATTTTTAGCATAGACTATCGAATAGTTTTTAAAACTATTCGAATATAATGTGTAACTATCGAATATTTTTACTATTCGAATAGTTCGATAGTTACTATACAGTTACTATAAATTAAAAAGTAGCAATATGTTATACTATTAAATTTATCAAATAAATCATAATTATCAAAATCAAGTAAGCTGAACACTATTTTTGGATATTAAAATATATAATTATTCCCTATTAATACCATTCACTTCGAAGTATGATTTTACACAATGTGTTGCATCAGTTTTACATCCATGGGGTAATTTATGTACATAAAAAAAAATTTTAGACCGTAAAATAGTATGCAATATACTTTCAAAAAGTCCTTAAATTATTATACATCTGTGACTAGGTTTTCTTGACAAGATAAAAATAATTTCTAATTACAAATTTTTTATTGCTTTTTATATTTTGAATATTGTTTAATTTCCAAAAGTAAAAAAACCAGGGTTGATGATTATTTAACTTTTTACAATCTATTTGTTTCCATAAAATCTCTTCGTGATCGGCGTTCTATTTTCTATGTGAATATATATATTAATATTATAAACAACTAAATATTTTGATTTCTTACATGATTTTTTGGATTACACTGTTCACATCTATGAATAAGCACAGTTCTCTGTTTGGATCCTTGACATTTAAAAACGAACCATAATTCGTCTACCAAATCTCTCCAAATAGATCTATGCGGTCCAATTCTCTGGGAAAATTAAATTATATAATTATATTAAATAGAGAAGGTTAAAAGTACTATAGGTTCGAATTGAAAAATCAATATATATTGTTTATAACTGCTCTAACAATTCAATTGTTTACATAGCTCTGTATATAGGAAAATTTACTACATTCGTGTGTACAACTCTTTTTATATAATTTAATTAATTATTAAAGTTAAAATTACCTGCTCAACTTTTCTTATTTTTTTCCTATAGTAACAGAATTCATAGAAAGACACTACAATTGATATACATAAACCGATCAAAAGAACAACAAATACACCGCCTAAAATGAGATATGGAGATAATTATGTTTGTTTAGAATTAGGATAGCATGAAAAATTTACATATATTCTTGAAATCAAGAGTATTTGTTTTTGAGTTTCCACTAGAGTTTTCTGGCATGCACATGTCATTAGGTGGTTTCCACCATTTATTATATAGCATCTGTATTTCACCTTTTTCTTGTAAGTCTAAAATAGCCAACGAAATCTGATCCTTCCACGGAGAACCTAATTATATGATCTATTAACAATTAGGTCCAAAGGTATTAAAAGTAAAAAAAATCTACCGATTGGTGTAGCTATACCATATCCTTTTGAGTCTAATAGTCCATTGATTTGTGTTAAATTACAATTTCTCTGAACAGCGTAGTCAAGCATTGTGGATTCCATCAAAAATGCATAATTATCTTGCAAAACTCGCTCAATGCCTTCTTCATAGGATGTTACAAACACGGATGGTTTTTTCTTTTGCATGTATGCCCACATTTTTTTATATGTTTCTATCATTGAATCCTTCAAGTAATTAAAAAAAAATTATTTATTATTTTAGAATAATTAAAATAGATTATAGTTAAATTTACTATTTGTAATATTTAATGTTTACATTATTTTATACTAACATATAACATGTTGTTTTTTTGTATACGTACTTTATGTATACACTATACAGGCGATTTATGACGTTTTGAAAAATTTAGATTGGAAATTTTGATAAATTTAGTTTATTAGATTTGTCAAATTATTGTTGACTACTCTGTATGTTAAAATCAGAGGCGAAGATTTTATCAATTTTTTCCAGTTTTATAGTAAACGGCTAATAGACTTATGGTTATGATATTTTCTTGAAATATCGATTCCAAAACCAGGTGATTAAGATTCAGTTCTAGTCATTACATGTATATTCGAAAATTTTTACTATATTTAGTTAGTTATTTGACCTTTTTCGAATTTTTTTCAAGAATTGTAAGGTTAAAAATTGTAGAAACTGAAGTATTGTGAAATTGCTTTTAAAACCTAAACTGAATTTAAATTTTAACTTATAAAGTTTTAATTAGTTTTAAGTTTAATCAAGCTTTCAAATGAATCTTATAATATTTGTGATGTATATAATGGTTTTTTCAATGTATATTTAAAAAAATATTCGAACTAATTTACAAAATATAAGAAAAATGCCAAAAACTGAAATTATTTTGGTTCCTAGTTCTAATATGTATGAACATATCAGATTTATAATGAATAATTAATTTTATGTGGAAAACCACAAAGAGGGATTTTTCTTCATAGTGTATTTAGCTAAGTATTCATTATTCTTTTATGATTTTTGATTTTTTTTTTAATTTTAGTTACAATATTAAAAAAAATTAATATTCTAAAATCAGTTTCTTTAAAGCGGCTCTAACTTCTGATTAAAATAATATCAATCAATAATGTTATCGTATTTTTTTAAATTCATATTTATTAATATTACTCTGAAAAATGTCATGGTCGTGCCACTGTCCAATGTTCCATACGCAATATTAGTTTGAGCAGCTAAATCTTCGGCGTTTTCAATGGGACTGACCATTCTTTCGACAGTTAGAAATGCAGCAAGATTTGCGGTATAAGAAGATAGAATTATTAAAGTAAATGACCACCAAACACAACCAACGATTTTTGTCGATAAAGCCTAAATAATGTATTACTCTTATTTTCTTCAAATATAAATCTAAAAATTAATTAAATAATACTAATATTCTAAATTATATTTCTTTCGGATGCATTTAATTAAATTGAATTGTATTTCATTTTATTTTTATTCTTAAGCTATGAAAACCTTTGGATGGACATTAGAGCCTTGCTGCATCAGTGAACCTATAGTGAACCAAAAACTGTTAGAAAGTGTAAATCTATTGATGCTTGAGGAATCCAAATTTTGAACCGAATTGGTCCATACAGCTTCAGAATTTTCTTCCCATTCATAAGGTGAAAATCTGGCTACAATGTAAAGTGTGACAGAAACAACAATATATGCAACCAACCAGTAGATCCATACTTCAATGGCTAAGGGATTCATAAAAGAAAAAAATTGAACGGGTTGATTGGTAGGTACCTGTAATGTATTTAATTATATTATTAATCAATAAATATATGTATAAATAATTAATTTTTAACATAATACAGAATTCTATCTTGTTTACTATAAAAAATTAATTATATAACTCAAATAAAAATAATATAGAAAAACATTATTCAAATTACTTTATTAGGAAACTATTAAACGTATATGGTATTTTATGTAAGGCATCACATAATAAAGATCTTGGCATTATCTTTTCAAGTGATTTGTCATTTAATGAACACATAACTACAATAACTAATGAATTCCTTAGAATTTTTGGTTTTGTTAAAAGAAAGTGTTATGAACCTAATAACCTTTATTGTTTAACCTTTTTTTAGTAATATCAATCCTTAAATATGGGGTAATTATTTGAAGTCCATATCAAATTGGACTTGTAAACATAGTTGTAAAGTTTAGAATCGTTTCTATTTATGCTCATAATTAAAATTGGTAAAAATAATACCTTTTTAGAAATAATTACTAAGTTTAAAATTAGGTCACTTGAAAAAATGAGATTTGATAATGACAACCCCATTTATATATAAATTACTAAATAATTTGACAGATTCTCCGGATTTACTTAGTTGTATTCACTTTCAGTCTATAGTAAGAATCTTCACACATCGTATATTGTTTTTATAAGAATCCATAAATAAAACTATAGTAAATATGCTCCTTTATTAGAATAATTTCAAATTATAACTATAAATGAACTTGATTTTTTCTTTGAATTCTTATACAGGTTTCTATTGTAATTGTTTAACTAAATTATTTAGTTGTCTTTTCTTTTTATATTCATCTGTTACCATTGCTAATTGTTTTAAGTTATTTACTTTCATGTTTACACTATTTCTATCCACAAACTTATTTGTAGTTATGACCCCATTAGCGTTAATATTTTAATATTACATATATATACAATGTACTATTTCATTATGCTGATAATAAATAAATAAATAAATAATAATATTATTATATTGTAAATTGATGAAAACTTGATACGCAAATATTTAATGTACATCTCATTCAAAGTACTGACTAATTAGGTATTTTGGTTTAACATAGTTCAATAGTTTTAAATAATAGTTAGTGTTTTTGGAAAATATTAATAAAATATATAAATACTAGAAAATTTTGAATTCCGTTTTTTATCAAAATTGCTTATTTTCATGTTCCAATTTAGTTTATACAAAACCGAATTCTATCCGTAATTCTTGTCCAAATTTTTATACAATAATATTAAAATACACATACTTTGTATAAAATACTAATCCCCAAATTCATAAAAGGTTTCGTAAAATCTATGACACTTTCTCTAGCATAGTTTATTGTCATCGATCCAACAGCTAAATCCGCTTTCTATTCAGACATTTGTTGAATGTTTGTGATATATATAAAATAATAATATGTGATTTTAATGCTTCAATTGATTAAATCATAAAAGTACACTTACGTGCTTTATTAATTGCTCTACAATGCCGTTCCATTCTAATGTAATAGGGTCTTGAGCACCATATTTATTGTCTGGTACTAAATCTAAAATATAATCGAATCCTACCTGTTTTGCAATCATTTCTAATAGATCAACACAAAATCCAAAAAACCTTGCGTTTCCCGTATAATTTTTGCCTCGATGCATCATGACATAAGGAAATTGCTGAAAAATATAATTAGAAATTTGGTTTGACTAATATTTTATGAAAAGATAATATTTAAAACTTGAATTTCTATGTATAGTTTAAAGGAGTTATGGTCTGCAGTGGTAATTTTACGATGCCAAAGACAGTCTACTTTGATAGGTTAGAAAGACGGCATTAAAAGCACTCTGCTATCACTATCGGAAATTAAAGCACGTTGTTTTAGAGTAAAGCGCAAGAAGTGTTGTACTAAAATCTCATTCCAAAGTCAATGATTATAGTTATTATTAAATAGTTGGAAAATAATAACGATACAATAGTGCATTTGATTTTTTCATAATTAATACCACACTGTATCAATTTTGTTGTTTTTTATGATGCGTTATATTAACTTTCAATTGTTTCAATTTGAATTATACTGATATAATTAAATATATAATGTAAATCTATGTACGAATGAATACTAATTTAAAGCAAACTTCAATTGATCCTTTATGTTTGAAGTAAAGAAAACAATAAATTGAATAACTTAATTTCAGTATTTTTATTAGACTTTATTCTGGTGTAAGATAACTTGACATGCATTAATTCATTTAGCTTTACATTCTGTACAATAATTAGGGGTCAGTACGTTTATATTTCTCCAGTTAAAAATATTTTTTAGTTAAAAAAGAATTATTTTACATTAATACTTACTACGATAGTAACAACAACTAATGTAATATTATATGGTGCAGTATCATGAAATGCTGTTATATCTGTTATATTTATCCCTATTCTTGGTGTCCATTCGCCTACTTTAGATAATGAGTGCTGCTTAAGTTTCATTAAATCCAATTTAAAATCGATTCTTCTTCCTTCTTTAAATTGTATAGGACCTGTTAGTCCTTTAACTTCGACCTATAAGTAAAATTAATTAAAAAATTAACCTATATATTGTTACAATAGTTAATTTTTATGCAATTTTACCAACTGAAATTTTACTAAAAATTGATTTAATTTTTATTCAACACACGATAAAGTTTCCACTAAATGTTCAAGATATACTCAATAAATTATTTTCATAAAATTAGCCTAAGAAAAACATATTGTTCAATGAAACATTAAAAAAAATTACTCAGATTTTTTTTTTTTTGTAATTACAAAATTTTATCTATCATAATATATTTAAGATGCGGGATTTTATGCATTTATGAAGTTTATTTTAGCTATACGAAATACATCAATGATAAATATATGTTTTTTTTTTTATATTTATCGCAATCAATGTATATTAGTTAGGATTTTAGTTTAGGAGGAGTGGGGGATCACTCCACTTAATATAAAAAAAATTTCTTTAGTACTGTATATACTTATAATAAATTTTAAGGACTTGAGTGTTTCGGAAATGCCCCAAACAAATTTAATAAACATATAAGTTCCAAATTCTAATCATATATTTATTATTATTCATTAATAAATATGAGTATTTTTTTAAGTGCATTCTACTTGGTGTTTTTTCGTTTTAAGTAATAGCAGTTATTAATTTTATTACTTTTCATTTATTTTATCAGTTTATTTATTATTACATTGACTAAATTGAGTGATTGTGGAAAATTATCAAATTGTCAGTTTTAGAAAAACGTCGAAAGAAAATTAACTCTAAATGATCGAAAATGAAAAACAATGTTGGTAAAAAAAAATATGAGTCTTCGTACAAATATTGTTAGCAATCATTTACAAAATAAATTTATACAAAGTGATAATTTTAACGCTAACCACTCAATTTCTCTTAAAATAATAAGTTTTTTGAGAATTTGTGATTTGTTATTGTTAGTTTCAATTGTATCTCCATTTATCATTTAACAATCATAGTATTTTTTTGGTGTTCATCCCTTATACTTTATAAGGGTGTCATAATACATTGTTTTAATTACATCATACATATTTAACTAGCTTATAAAATAGAAAATGATCGAATTAAGAAATGATTAGTGGATTACAACATTTGGACCAATGCTTCAGAAATTATTCACAATTTTGAAGCTAGGCGAGAAAAGTAGAGTAACTGAGAAAAGACTAATGATAAAAATAGTAACATCCTCGCTTCACCTCAAGTCTATATTTTAAAATGTTTATAACTTCCAAAGTATTAAACCAAGAGTTGTAATTGACCAGTCATTTTCTTAATTAGATCATTTTATATTTTTTAAGCTAATTAAATATGTATGTTACCATTTAAATAAATAAAGTAAACACACCTATAAGATATAAGGGATGGACCTAAAAAATATCTTATAACAAATAAATGAAGATACATATGTAACTAACAAAAATTAAAAAAAAATTCATAAAAAAAGTATTATTTTAAGAGAAATAGAGTAGTTAGCTTTAAAAGAATCACTCTGTATAAATAGTGTTTTTTTTTAATTAAAATATATTATCGAGATTACGTTTCAAAATATCAATATTATTTGTTTATTTTTAAAATTAATATATATCAAAAGAAAACTTAGAATGTGATATTTTTTTGAATTTGCCTAAACAATAGATATTATTTAACTAAAGATGTTGCGCCAATTTTACTAATTTCAAAACCACAATGCAAGTTTGGTATGAGTTATAATAGTGCCTTAAGTCAACTGTTACAATAACTGCTTTTTATACACAATAAGTATTAAAAAACGCCTTTTATATACGACGTTTTTCCTTTAAAATTTTTGTTACAATGAGGCTATTACCGAATTGATATAATTTATTAAGCTTGTTCCAGTCTTCCACGGTATTTCATCTTCACATGATAAATTTGAATATTGGAGTTTATTGTTTTGTTGGAGAGCTCCAAGGCCAATTGCCATCACTTGCACAGAATCGTAAATAAGGGCAGATTCGCACTATGATAAGGATTAACATTTTATTTTGAAAAATTATTTAACACAAAAATATTGTTCACTAACTTGCATCATCTTAATTTTATCAAATGTTTGGTTATTTTCAATTGCATATGATTCCATTTGCTTAAAAATTTCTCGAACGCCAACGTTCTCTACATCTACCATTCTAAATGTTGTTAAATTTACAAAATTATACTTGAAATCTTCTAAGTCAAACATTTCCATATTCTAACACGTAAACAAATAAATAACCACGAAAGTAAACAGTTGCATTTTCGAATAAATATATTAATAATGCTTATTTTACACTAACAATAAAAACTTGGTAGAAAATAAACAGCTCATTGTAATATAAATTATTTTAAATATTAAAATAAATTTGAAAATGAAATCATTTTGGGTGTTGGATACCGAATAACCTAAGGTAAACTGGATTATTAGGGAAGGAATAAGTGCAGTGATTTCCTGGTGCATTCTGCACAGGGCACATGGTGCTTTTTGCCATCGTAAGATGCTCGTAAGGGTACCCATAAGTACAATAAGGCGGCAGACGAGACTTGACACACGAGTTTTGTTAACATCTAGTGTGTCCACCTCCTCACCACACTTCAAGAATAGATTTATCAAAATCGTAAAAAGATTTAAAGAAAAATATGCATGTTAAATGATGTTCTAAAACGTAGGGTAACAGAACAAAATGCAGTCTCAATATCTTAAAATTATTATGTCAGAAAAAAATATTTCACTTATTAATATATTTCATGTGATTTATGAGTATATTGTTAATTTTTAATTAACATATATTTTGTAAAAAAAAGGTTGATAATTTGACTACACGTTTAATTTCTAGTCATATGTGGACGTTTTTCATCTCTTATATGAGCTAATGTAAATTCAAATTACTTTTACTGAGTGATCTATTGTAGGGCTAAGAATCAAAACTATTTTTTAAAGTAACTGTAAAGTAAGGTTAAAACTATAGTATTTTTTAATTTCGATGATGATAGGGTTTCTGGTTTTAGAATTAAATGATAGCTGTTCATTAGATGTAAACTATTACCAAGTTACAACATTTTTTTGATGCGTTGAAACTAATTTTATTGAGCTCATTGTATAAGTATTTCAAAAATAATGTCATGACATTTTTAAAAAAATATGTGACTTAAGAACTGAAAAAATGTTATAATTAATATTTAAAACAAAAAAAAAGAAAACATATTTGATGTTAATATTTTGTGTAGTGTTGATTAGTAAATTACAAATGTTTTTTCTATTTTAAAGTATCTTAAATTTAATATTTATACTTAGGTAGAATGTATATTAAATGTTTATGCAAGCTATTATTATTTTTTAAGTTCGTTGATTAATTATAATTGTTTGTATTAAGAATGTAAAGTGTTACATGGAGTTATTAGTACTTATAGTGGTGTACGAAGAATTTTTCAATAGGAGAGAGAGTTAAGAAACTTTATGTATTACTTATCATAAGCGCCAACGTCATATAAATTATAGTAATAATTGAAAAATGAGAGGAGGCATAGCCCTGTGAGCCATCTTGTTTTTAAACCTTAAAAATGCTTTACCAAAAATTCTTACATTTCTTAATTAACAAACTTAATAATTTCATTTAAAAATAATCAATAAAAATGTGTTTATCAAATAAGAAAATAATCAAATAAATCAAGATTAATTATTGTATTAATGTTTAAGATTAGAATCGTTTGTAATCATATTAGAAAAACTAAAATTTTTATAGCTTAAATATAATAAATGTATCTATTATAGATCGGTTACAAAATAATGTATGTTCGTATATGTCTTATCATACAGTTTAGCGGTGGTGTACCTCCAAGGGGGCTAAAGAGGCTATAGCAACCCATTGTCCAATTTTTACTATTAACAATATAAATCTTAGACATTAGTAAGACCATGTGATAAGTCAAAATATAAAACAGGTCCTCAGCAGCCCCAATCAAAATCCTGGCTACGCTACTGTTGTTTAGAGTACTTACGAATGAAGTAAATAAATAGTGAAACTTGTAATCGTTCATTTGTAATTGTAATATCTAATAAATAACAAGTAATAATATTAATAAATAACTTTATATTTATTATTGTAGAAACTTAAAAATGTACTCCTCTTAAAAAATGATTGACATGTTCTGATTTTGTATCTACCAACATATTATATACTTCCATATTTTTAATTTCATTCAGAACTGACCTATACGTTTCAGGCGTTGCGTATCTGAGATAGACGTCTACTGTTTTTTTATTTGGTATTGTTTTCATAAAATCTTTCATTCTTAGTAGATCTAGATTTTTTTTAAAAATGAAATAAATTAACATAATTATTAATATTACTATTTTAGTTTTAATTTAAGCTAGTAATAATCAATTATTACAGATAATAAGATTACAATGAATCCATAGTGTGGGCAGAAGCGAACTGAGGAATATTTACTGTGTTTAGCAGCCCAGAAATAACTTTTTGCTCATCATTTAAATTTTTAAAAACAAATTTAATAATTTGAACGAAAATTGGGGAGTATTAATGTTATAATACCTTAAATTTCTTTTAGTTATATATAAGCCCCGCTGGTCAATTAACTTATATTATTCTAGCTCCTATATATTTTACCAGTTAACCGTTTATGGATTCCTTATAAATATGTTTGTGCAACCATTTGTTGCGCAATATAAAAAAATAATTTTTTTCAAATATTAAAATAATAAAAAAAAAAATTAATTGTTTATATTTA